TTTTAAACAATGCAAACATGTTTTCAATCACTGAACTTTGATATTTTTAAACTCTTCTTATCTATCTTAAAACAAATGAATTTATCTAAGGACAGTTTTCGTGTTCATCAGTTCCAGAGTGAATACTCACTAAAAATTTTGAGCTTAATACTTAAAAAGTCTGACAGTTTTACTCTCCCCCCAAAAAATAAAAACAAAAACATGTGATCTATGATTTTAAGTGATAACATTGAATAGAAGTAGATACTCTATATACATATTCTTTAGTTGAAGACAAAAGTGACATTTTCTCAGGTTTTCTTCTTCTGTTTAAGGATCAGCATGGAGGAGCTAAATGATTTGAATCCAGAAGAAATTCCTGGAGTTAGAGAAGACCTGGAAAACGACACTGCTGCAGCAGCCGCAAGGATTCAAGAATACTTAGAAACACTAAATAATATTCCACTAAATATCGCCATCACAGGAGAAACTGGATCTGGTAAATCCACCTTTGTTAATGCCCTCAGAGGGCTGTCCAATGATGATGAGAAAGCTGCGCCTACTGGTATTACAGAAGCAACCTTAGAGTGTACGCCATATCCCCATCCAAACTATCTCAATGTTACTTTATGGGATATTCCTGGAATCGGCACCAGCAAGTTTCCAGCTGAAAAGTACCTGAAGCTTGTTGGATTTGAGAAGTTTGACTTCTTCATCATCATCTCAGGCATTCGCTTTACAGAAAATGACGTGAAACTTGTAAAAGAGATTGAGAGGATGGAGAAAAAGTTCTACTTTGTTCTCTCAAAAATTGACAACGATATACGAGCTGAGAGAAGAGAGACAGACTTCAGTGAAGAGGAGACTCTTAAAGTAATCAGAGAAGACTGCGTTCACAGTGAGTGTCTCATCACTGAAATCTCAGTGATATCTGAGATTCACTTTTAAAAAACATTCAGATCCAAGTTTTAAATGATTTGTTGTTGTTTTTATAGGACTTCATATTATATGCATTTTTTTTTACATTATCTTTATGTGTGTTTCTTCTGTGACACAGGAGTTGCACAGTTAGGCATCGAGTCTCCAAAGGTCTTCCTGGTGTCTAGCTTTGAGCTCCACCTGTATGACTTCCCTCTCTTGCAGCAGACCTTAGAGAGAGACCTTCCTAAGAACAAGAGGGACACTCTGCTGTTTGTCATGCCCAACATCAACCCAGAGATCATCATCAAGAAGAAGGAAGCTTTTCAGAACAAAGTACATTACTACGCTACTCTGTCTGCAATTGGATCAGCTGTTCCACTTCCTGGGCTTTCCATGGTTGTTGATCTTGCTGTGCTGGTTAGTGCTGTCACAGAATATGTTTTCGGGTTTGGTCTCAATGTGTCATCTCTGAAGAGACTTTCTGACCGAACAGGTGTGCCATACGCTGATCTGTGTGCTGTCATCAATTCACCACTGGCTGCAGCAGAAATAACTAAAGAGCGCGTCCAGCAGGCACTGACCGAACTTAAACACAGAGTTACAAGAACTGCAGCATCCAGATATATTCCAATTTTTGGAATCCCATTAGCATTGATTTTCTCTTTCATCGAAAACTGCAAATCTCTGGAATTGATCCTTGATGAGCTTGCTGATGATGCTCAGAGGGTGTTCGAAAGAGCTTTAGTCTGAATACATCAGCGTGAATTTGAAAGTAAAAGATGAGTAATGAATCATCAAATATAAATATACTGAAACCTGTAGCCCGTACATAGCTTGTACACTCGCTACAGCTATACCCTGTACATACTTATAGTATACTCATAACATACCTTCATACCATGTATATTGTAACATACCTATAATAGAGCTATATTCTGTATTATATCTATATTACCGCTAAAGAACTTTCTGAATGGATGCAAACTGCATTTCGTTGCCTTGTACTTGTGACATGTGCAATGACAGTAAAGTTGAATTCTATTCCATTCTATTCTAAACCAAATCACGTTGCACTTGTACGTTTGAGCCATAATCATGCTATAGTTAATAAGTGTATCAAAGGCCTCAGCAAGTCTCATTTCTTCTCATTAAATCAATA